AACTCGCGTTAAATGATGAATATATCCCAGCATCTGTTCATCTACAAAAACACACAACTTTCTTCGGCCTGTAATTCCCAACAGATAGAGGTGCTTCAGATTTGTTGATATGAGATTATTTTGGGTGGTTTGACTGAAAGTGGTCAGCTCTGGCACCTCTGTGCACACTTGGTAGTTGTGTACCTTCATACGTTTTGGACCTGTATTAGCAGTATTCAAATGAAGTTTGATGACTAAGAACTGTAACAACTTCAAGCAAAAATATTGACTCATCATAACAACTTCACAAAATACCATTTGAAAATTTCTGAACTATCCCTTTAAGATGTAAAGTAAAAAAGGTTCCAAATTTAGACTCAAATGAAAGTGGCTCCATTAAGGTTTGTGCCCCTCCTTTTAACACTTCAGAGCAGTTGGACAAAAAAAAGTGCACGACAAACAAAGGAAATGAGCTGGGACATAAAAACAAAGACACATTTTCCAGAAACAAATAAAATGTTGCATTAGGACAGTTGTAACAAGCTGACATTAACTGGAATTTTAACGATGTCTGCCCTGTTTTCATCCAGCTAAATTGTGATTGTCTTGTCGGTGTGTTTTAAACACCAGAACTGTTAAGAAGGCTTGACTTTTGGCTGAGTGAAGCTCAACATCTTGTCCAGAAACAAAATTGTCAACATGTCGTTTGTTTGTTTTGTTTAAGCAATAAAATAATGTCAGAAACAAAAAGGTGACAACGGTGAGACAGTTGATTCCCTCACCTCTCCAGGGATCTGCAGGAAATGCATTAAAGAAGGAAAAGAATAAGAATGAGAATCACAATAAAAGGTGCACAGGGAACAGTTCAACTGAAGGGTCCCTGCTGTGTTTCAGTGGAGAATGTATTTCTTCTTGGCTGTGTTTCTCCTAACATTATACTAAGTCCTCCTAACTCCTAATTGCTTAAAAAATTATATATGTTTATTACATTTTTCACCTAAGTACGTTGCCATTATTTTACCAGTGCAGTGTATTCTGCAGCGATGGCATACATCAGCTGTAGTGAAGACTAAAACACGAGTCAAGACTAAAAAAATACAACTTCACTGTTATATTTTGTTTTAGTCCTCATGCACAATATATGGGTCGAATCATTCAAAGGTGATCAATTAACACCACATATATATATATATATATATATATATATATATATATATATATATATATATACATATATATATATATATATATATATATATATATATATATATATATATA